TGGCGTGAATGTATGTTTTATCCATGCTTTGCTTCAAACAATAATGTTCGGAAATATGTCTACCCATGTGGACACCAACAGATAGAACAGTCCAAAGTCAATCAAAAGATAGATTAATACAGAAAATACAGAAACTATGATAAATGATAAATTTGGAAAAAAACGAATCAAATCTAAGTTTCCAGAAAATCATCTGCACGTTTGGAAACAAATTCATTCACTCATAATTTATTGACTGGCTTGTATGCCACTCATTGCAATCAAAACGGTACAAAAGATTGGCTGGAGCCAGCAAAGCTGGCACTCCATGTAGCTGGAATATTCTATCTGTTGATTTTGAATCATTTTGCATATTAAAACATACAGCAAAATGTGGTCGATTTACGTTCTATCCGAAAAACCACCGCAAACCAACATCAACATGAAACATGCACGCACACACACACACACCTGACCATCAAACATAGTGCATCGAATGTTCAGTTGCAATGCTTTCGACACCCATCGACACCCACAGACGGACGATGCCCTACACAAACACAGCCTTTGCCCCTGACAAATGCATATAGTGCTATGGAAACAGACGATGTGAACAGAAACAACTGAAACTTACTATGTGTTTCTCCTTTGGCGTGAATGTATGTTTTATCCATGCTTGGTTCAAACAATAATGTTCGGAAATATGTCTACCCATGTGGACACCAACAGACAGAATAGTCCAAAGTCAATCAAAAGATAGGTTAATACAGAAACTATGATACATGATAAATTTGGAAAAATCATCAAATTTATTTTTCCAGAAAATCATTTGCACGTTTGGAAACAAAATCATTCACTCATAATTTATTGACTGGCTTGTATGCCACTTCTTTCAATCAAAACGGTACAAAAGGTTGGCTGGAGCCAGCAAAGCTGGCACTCCATGTAGCTGGAATATTCTATCTGTTGATTTTGAATCATTTTGCACATTAAACATACAGCAAAATGTGGTTGATTAACGTCCTTTTATCAAACAATTTGAAAAACTCTCGCAAAACGCAAAACCAACATGAAACATGCACACACACACACACCTAACCCTTGCTAACCATGCCTCATCAGACATAGTGCGTCGAATGTTCAGTTGCAATGCTTTCGACACCCATCGACACCCACGATGCTCTACACAAACACAACCTTTGCCCCTGACAAATGCATATAGTGCTTTGGAAACACACGATGTGAACAGAAACAACTGCAACTTACTATATGTTTCTCCTTCGGTTGGCGTGAATGTATGTTTTATCCATGCTTGGTTCAAACAATAATGTTCGGAAATATGTCTACCCCATGTGGACACCAACAGACAGAATAGTCCCAAGTCAATCAAAAGATAGACTAATACAGAAACTATGATAAATGATAACTTTGGAAAAAAAAAACGAATCAAATCTAAGTTTCCAGAAAATCATTTGCACGTTTGGAGACAAATTCATTCACTCATAATTTATTGACTGGCTTGTATGCCACTTCTTTCAATCAAAACGGTACAAACGATTGGCTGGAGCCAGCAAAGCTGGCACTCCATGTAGCTGGAATATTCTATCTGTTCATTTAAATCATTTTGCATATTAAAACATACAGCAAAATGTGGTTGATTAACGTCCTAGTTGTCAAACAATTTGAAAAACTCTCGCAAAACGCAAAACCAACATGAAACATGCACACACGCACACACCTAACCCTTGCTAACCTTGACTCATCAGACGTAGTCAATCGAATGTTAAGTTGCAATGCTTTCGACACCCATCGACACCAACAGACGGACGATGCTCTACACAAACACAACCTTTGCCCCTGACAAATGCATATAGTGCTATGGAAACAGACGATGTGAACAGAAACAACTGCAACTTACTATGTGTTTCTCCTTCGGTTGGCGTGAATGTATGTTTTATCCATGCTTGGTTCAAACAATAATGTTCGGAAATATGTCTACCCCATGTGGACACCAACAGACAGAATAGTCCAAAGTCAATCAAAAGATAGATTAATACAGAAACTATGATAAATGATAAATTTGGAAAAAAACGAATCAAGTCTAAGTTTCCAGAAAATCATCTGCACGTTTGGAAACAAATTCATTCACTCATAATTTATTGACTGGCTTGTATGCCACTCATTGCAATCAAAACGGTACAAAAGATTGGCTGGAGCCATTAAAGCTGGCACTCCATGTAGCTGGAATATTCTATCTGTTGATTTTGAATCATTTTTCATTCAAAATATGGAACATATAATATATTCGATAAACATCCTGTTTGTCAAATTGAAACATGCACACACACACACACCTAACCCTTGCTAACCTTGACTCATCAGACGTAGTGCATCGAATGTTCAGTTGCAATGCTTTCGACACCCATCGACACCCACAGACGGACAATGCTCTACACAAATACAGCCTTGGCCTTTGCACCGGACAAATGCATATAGTGCTATGGAAACACACGATGTGAACAGAAACAACTGCAACTTATGTGTTGTTCATTGACAATGTACGGAAATAGCTGTACCCTTGGGGAAATCAACAGATAGAATAGTCCAGCAGATAAATCATACAAAAATATGCAAAAATCATGATAAATGCGAATTTGGTCAAAGTTTCCGGAAAATCATTGATGCCTCTGAAAACCCTATATATATATACACGGATTAACAGATAGAATATTCAATACTGCAACGAAACCTCAAAAACTATTCTATCTGCGAGTTATACCTATCAACGTGTGTTTCTGCTATTTTTTCATTTTTAACTTACCCCCCAGAAGTCATTGATTTTATTCTATGTGCTAGTTACTGAATATATATATATATACTGTGTATATATATATATGAGCAACTGTCAAAACTCGCGGATACTAAGATATGTATTGGCTGGACATTGGTTTTCAGAAAGTGCAAAAAACTGAGGTTAGCGATGGGACCTTCCCAAATAGCGATACCCCATGTTGAATTCAATAGTTAATAATTATATTTCATGAGTGTTGATTTCGTCCAGTGCTCGCATTGGTGATAGGCTTGGGCTCAGGGTTGAAAGAAAAGGAAAGGAACAGGACAGGGAAATGAAAAGAAAAAGAAAAGGAAAAGGACAGGAACAGAAAAAGAAACAGGAAAGGAAAAGGAAGAGGAAACAGAAAGGAAAAGGAAAGAGAAAGGCAAAGGAAAGAGAAAGAAAAAGAAACTAACAGAGAAAATAAAGGAAAAGGAAAGGGAAAGAAAAACGAAAAAAGGACACGAAAGGAAAAGGACAGAAAAGGGGAAGGAAAGGCAAAGAACAGAAAAGGGAAAGGAAAAGGACGGGAAAAGGAAAAGAATAGTTTCGCAAGCAAATGATAATGCACCCGCCTGATTCTGCAAAAAAAGCAGGTCGGTTTTAGCGATACCATAGAGATGCCTTAGCGATACCCAAGCGATACCCAAGTTCACCCAATTGCACAGGATCCCCAACTACTTGTACCTGTACTTCTACTTCTACTGCTAAGTCTTCTATTGTACTTCTGCTTCTACTAATACTACTACTACTACTTCTTCTACTACTACTACTAACTACCCGAACTACTAACTACTAACTACTAACTACTAACTACTACTACTAACTACTACTAACTAACTAACTACTACTAACTACTTCTAACTACTACTAACTACTACTAACTACTACTAACTACTTCTAACTACTACTAACTACTACTAACTACTACTAACTACTACTAACTACTACTAACTACTACTAACTACTACTACTTCTAACTACTACTAACTACTACTAACTACTACTAACTACTACTAACTACTACTAACTACTACTAACTACTACTAACTACTACTAACTACTACTACTACTACTACTTTTTCTTCTTCTACTTCTTCTACTTCTTCTACTTCTTCTACTTCTACTTCTTCTACTTCTTCTACTTCTACTTCTACTTCTACTTGCTAGTTCTACCACTACAATCACCAATACTACCACCGCTACTATTGATTACTGCTGCTGCTACTGCTGCTAATACCACTGCTGCTGCTGCTACTACTGCTACTACTACTACTACTTCTTCTACTTCTACTTCTACTTCTACTTCTACTTCTACTTCTACTTACTAGTTCTACCACTACAATCACCAATACTACCACCACTACTATTGATTACTGCTGCTGCTGCTGCTAATACCACTTCTGCTGCTGCTGCTACTACTACTACTACTTCTACTTACTACTTCTACCACTACAATCACCAATACTACCACCACTACTACTGATTACTGCTGCTGCTACTGCTGCTAATACCACTTCTGCTGCTGCTGCTGCTACTACTGCTACTACTACTACTACTATTATTTGAATTCCTGCTACTAACGCCAGGATTGTGTTCCTAGCCTTGCAAATATTTCTAATACTTCCTTATTCTTAGTACTACTTTTACCAG